TACTTGGCATGTCATGACAGAAATACGTTTTGGGAAGATTTCTTAGAAATGAGACTGAAGTACTGCAAATTATCTGGTAAAGGTAGCAGACTTCAGGGAATTGAACAGGGAATCTCATCAATGTGGTCTGGAGCTGTAAAGAAGTAAGACTGCCTGCTGATGGATTTCTTCTGCTTTTGGATAGTGCTTCATTTGGTAGTTGAATTGTCTTGCTTTTGTACTGCAGGCCTGGGGAGCAGCAAGAAGAGTTTCCAAAGATGACTGGTTGGAATGGTTAAGAAGACTGAGTTTGGAGCTACTGAAAGATTCCTCCTCGCCATCCTTGCGCTCATGCTGGGCCCTGGCTCAGGCATATAATCCTATGGCTCGGTAGAGTAATTCTGTTTTTTTTCGGATCACTTGAAATTGCAGATGCAAGCCAGATATTATAAGGAAAAAGAAAATTACTTAAAAGCTCTTAGGTTCTATATATAGAGATAGTTCCTGCTTTGGGACAAATCAAATAGCTGGCAACTTGATTTCATTTCCACCCTTCCCAGTTGGCTGCTCTGTGATGTGCACAAAATCTTTCAGTGGAATTCTGCATATTAGTCTAGAAATAACATAAGGCACGGAAAAGTGAAGCTGGAAACACAGTAGAGTATGAAGTAGTTTCGAGGATCTACTGTGGGTGAATAAAAATGCCTCTGAGTGGAATAAGCCGCAGTGCTTTATTTCTTTTGCAACCAGTATGTCTGGAGAAACTTTGAGGTTCTGTAAGCAGTTGCCTGTTTATCTCTTCTTGATGATATACACTTGTCATCTCAGTGCATATGAATCTGACTACTGCTGTTAGAAAAGTGTTCATTCCTGGTTTAATTTTGTCTTAATGTGAGTTTTATCATTTTTTAAGTAGAAGGGCAAACAGCATGATGAAAAGTCAGCAATTTCTAGGTAGTCAGAGGTAATGCTAGCATTCTCCATGTATACTCCGTGCATCTCAAACCCATCCCACAGTATTTCTCCACAGTACTAGCAGTGACAAGGGCTGTCACTGTACCTGTTTTTCATCACCTTTCCTCCTGTAGCTTTGCCACTAATTCAAACTCCAGCTATTGCAGTCCTCTAGTGAGCACAGAAAACACAAGTGTTGCAGCACGTGTGTCCAGAGAAATGTACAATCATCTTTTTCACTACATTCACTTGTGATCTAAGACAGACTAGGCCTGTTTCCTCATAGCGGACGAGAAGAGCATCCTTGCTGCTATGAAGAGTTTGTTCTAGCCTAAAATACTTGCTAGCATATGATATACAATATTTCTACTATTGTAGTATATCATCCTATTATATATTTTTCAAATGCACGTTTCACTAAGTATTTGGTACAGAAGTTAGCTTTAGAAAAACTAATCACTATTTATTGCAGGTAGACATATAAATGCGTTTTGTAGCTCTTTCTCTGAATAAGAAGGCAAGCCCACTGTCAAATAGACTTTTTCTCATGAATAATGAATCCCTACCTCTCACTGTCTCCTGTTTTCCTTCTCAGAGATCTCTTCAATGCTGCTTTCGTTTCATGCTGGTCTGAACTGAATGAAGACCAGCAGGATGAGCTGATCCGAAGCATTGAATTGGCCCTGACTTCTCAGGACATTGCAGAAGTCACTCAGACACTGCTGAACTTGGCAGAATTCATGGAACACAGTGACAAGGTAGAGATGCCATTAGGCTACCCTTTTTCTAATGCTGGCTAGCTGGCTGATGTCTATGGAAAGGGTGTGAAGAGTTCATGCGTAGTTTCTTCTTTCTTATACTCATCCTGCTTTTGATGTATGTGCTTCTACCCAGGGTCCACTGCCTTTGAGAGATGATAATGGCATTGTCCTCCTGGGGGAAAGAGCTGCAAAATGCCGAGCATATGCCAAGGCCCTTCACTACAAGGAGCTGGAATTTCAAAAGGGTCCCACCCCGGCCATTCTAGAGTCTCTCATCAGGTAAGACTGCACCTGATGAGACTTCTGCTCTGGCATCAGTACCCAATTTAGGATACCATCAGGATGAATCTAGACAATTCTTAGGATTTCACTCTCTGCCACAAGATGATGTTGTAGGCTTGCATATGTATACTCCTAGCTGCTGAGTTCTGCCCTTCTATTATGCGGTTAAAATTATGATAGAAGCTGGGGGAAGTTGTGCAGGAAAAAGTGGAGTTGTCTTATTTTCACCTCTCACCCTTCAGGTTCGATATGGGATGCCGTGGAGTGGCTGTAAGTTAGATGAGAGAGATTTCTACACCTACGTATAAATAAGCCAGAAAAGCTGAAGTTCTTAATTAAAATTTCTCATCAAATTCTGCTCATCTAGCTTAGATAGGTCTCATTCTTCATATGTCAAATAGAAGATATTATAATAAGAGTGTATTGTTTCCTGAGCTTTGTCAACCAGAAAGATGTTAGCCTGAAATACCTGCACAGGGTTTGGTACTAAGCTACATGTTTTCAAACATGAATCTCAGTTTCATGTCACAGAAATGTTAACTCTGTGTGAGATGGACAAATTGATTTTGGTTGAGAAAAACTTAGTTTTGTCTGTATGCAGTGAATTTTTCAGCCCTCCTACTTCCTTGGAGTTGTGCTTTCCTGTTTTTTTTCCCCTCTTTTATTCTTTCATCCTTTGTCCTCTCTTGTTTTTCTGAGGAAAATACAGAATTTGGCGTATTCCCTTTCCTGGCCTCAATCACTTGTGCAGCTGCTTCTTTGTGTATCAAAGAGCAAGTTAAGGAGCAAAGACTTGAAGTAAAGCAGGATTAAAAATGACAGACAATTTATTAGAAATGAAAAAGTTTAGAAACCTTTAAAAGTTTAGAAACCTTTAAAAATCTATTTTGTAGACCACAGTTAAAATAGTTCCAACTATAGTTCCACACAGTTGAAATTTACAGTATGAATAGTCAAACATATGTAAGGCAGTTCCCAAGACACCTTTATCTCCCATTTCATACAAGACTGAACAATTTAAATTAGATTCAAACTCTCTTTAAGGTGAATAAAAATAGATATATTAACTATAACTATCTCTTTCAATATACTCAAATAACGTTATGGCTACAGGAGGCATCTCTTTCCTTTTTAACTGTTGTTTTTAACACTGTTATGTAAGGGAGAAACATACTGATTTTTGACATAACATCTCTAGGTAACTTGTAATTGGGGTGGTTTTTCAGAACAGATTTTAATATTCCTCAGCGTGGTATGCTAGCAAACAGTCCCTTACATTTGAGTAACTTTTGGCACTTATGGATTCTGTGGTACGTACTAGTGTTTTGCTCATGGATACAGTGGTTCGAAGTGTTGGAGTGGAGTTTTTTGGCTGGGTGGCTGGGTCTGGATTTTTTTGCTAACCTGCTGTTCTCTCTTTAGTCTTACTGACATATAGCACACTTATATTCTAACCTGAACATAATCTGGTGGCAGCCCAGAAAGTTGCTTTCTAGTTTATCAACCTTTAGGTGATCTGTGGATAGGAATAAACGTCACAGAGCATATGGGACAAATCCTTCCTCCAGGGTTACTATCTGCTGGGTGCAGCCCTCTATGGGGACTTATTTGAGGCAGCAGCAGGAGATGGCAGTAAAACTTCAGGAGAGGACCTGGGCAATACTAATTAATCCAAAATTTTTGAGCTTCATTTTTCCTCTGTGGGAATGTAAGTCACTTACTATACACTAAAGAAAGGTGCATCAGGGACACTTCTGATTGATTCCTCTGGCTTGAAATGGGTATGTCATTTTTGTGATTTGAGTCCCTCTTGGAAGGAGTTACTCAGCAATGCTTACTCTAGACACTGAAGGAAAGGTAACAAGGAGGCTTTCTTTTTTCGGTCCCTGTCTGGCTGCTTAATACTAAGGCAACTCACTAGTCAATGCTAGTGAAAACACACCAGTAGGTTTTCTGAAGGTGCTGTAAGTGCATTCTGTTCTAACCTATTGTAACACAGTATGTTTCCCTTTGGAAAGAGCCTGAAGAGGAGGAAGTAAGTCTGAGCCCTGATAATACCAGTGGCTGTGGCTGGTGCTTAATGTGCCTTAGTGTTTGTGTGTGTACATAGCCAGTATGTAGCTGTTGCACGTATTAAATGAAATGAACAATTATTTGGCTGATTTTGAGCTGTCCGTTGCCCACCTTCTGTGCAGTGGCATCGTGTAGCTGTACAATCAAATATTGGTTCCCTCTACGGTTTGAAATCCTCTGGACGGATCTTCATCTCAACTCTCTTCAGTGAATAGGTTGATCCGTGCCATCCATACCAGGTGATGCCATCCATGTTCTTGGTGTGTTCTCCTTTGCGGTAGTAAACCCCGTTCAGATTGGAATCTGTGCAGCAGTTGTACCAATATCCACCTTTTCAGAAAGCAAATGAATAGATTCCTGATGAGGAACAGGTTTGTTTTGTATTAATAATAAGAATTATTGTTCTTCCCTGAAGAGAGTGATCAGAATGCAGCATTTAATCCCTGGAGCCTATGGCCCTAATAGCTGGGATTGCAGGTAAATTCAAAACTTAACACAGATACTAAATACATAAAGGCTTTACAGTTACATAGTCAAATTAGTCCAGTAGCTTTTCATTCAGTTGCTCATTCCCCTTAGAATATTTCCTTGACAAGTTTCTGTCTCTGAGGCTGAGAGTTAGCATAGGAAATGAATTTGGGTTCTTAGCTTGGGCATTTTAAGGTGTTGAAAATGTTTCTGGACTCTGCAAGTAAGCTGCGCTATTTTACTGAGACTGATGTCAGCAATTTTATTTGCATCTTGCATGGGGGCACAATGGGGAAATTAAAAATAAAGGGCAAGATGCAATGAAGACAATTATCTTTGTGACAGACCTCATATAAAGATAAATTGAACGAAGAGAGTAACCTCATTAGAGGCTCTTAATAGAGTAGGAATAAAGATTAGAATACAGGTTGAACCTTGAGGTACATGTAGGATAATAATGTAGGAGAATAATTACAAGTCCCTAATATTAGAACTTGAAACCTCATAAAAATGTAAGAAAAAACAAAAACCTAGATATACAGGAATAACTTCCTGCATGACTGAATTGGATCAACATTTGAGATAGTCTGGCAGATTGCAGGTACGCATAATGGTCTGGATAACAGTATGTGTAGGTGACAGCATACACTAAATCATTTGAAGAGTACTGATGTCTATAACATACAGTCTGGCTCTGTAAATCAGCTTTAACTGCCAGATTTCCCACATAACCAATAAGTGTGTATTCCATAATTGTTCATCTTACCCTTGATTTGCCATCCAGATGCTACTTACTAGTTACTTGGAAAGAGGGAGTTGGGCTCTTTACAGATTACCCAGGCAGTTCTCTCAGGACAGGAAAGTGTTTGTGTGTTTTACCTTTACGGAACTGGGCGCAGTCATCCACGCACTTGTCATTGTCCTTGTCCTTTGTGCTGAAGGCTGTGTTGTTGTGGTACCTTAGGGAATCGCGCCCTGTGTTGCCAGTGTAGTTCCCCACAAAAAGACGATAGCTATTTATTTCGTTGCTCAGCGTGAATTGCTTATATTGCGCATAGCGTATGTTACCTTCCCAGTCCTGCCACAGAACAATGAAGAAGAAATAGGTGCTATTATAGAATAGTTATGAAAAGACTCTCATGTGTATACATATATATGTAACTCATATAACTATGGTTATATACAGTGCATGTTGCCTATCTTTTCTCAATCCTAGATTTTTCATGAGTTTTTTTTCTGTCTCAGACTGCAGAAACTTATCTGTTAAGGCAAAGAAACTTTCCAGAGCAAAGCATCATATTTCCAAGTCTTATCTGCACTGGTATTAAACAATATGTATGGAAACCTGGTGCACAGCTCTTGCATTCAACATCCTTGTCTCACAGTTTGCTGCCTCAAGTAGGTGTTTTATTTTTTCCTCTCTGAAACAGTGACTTATAGACATAAAGCCTTTCAGCTCACTTTTTCCGTTGTACATATCCCATCCCTCAAAGCTATTGTACCAGCTATAAACTAGTCTAAGTCAAACCCAAGCCTTTAGTAGACTGTAGAAATTGTTTTGGGATAACACAGTGCAAACTCTTTTGTACACAGGCTGGAAGGAAGTGCTGCAAAAGGAAAAGTCTCGGAGTCTTTAAAACTTTATGGGGCATCTCTGTGAATCTTTAAATCTGAGGTGGTCAGCAGTTCGATCTCTGTCTGCAGTGGGTTTCGCAGGATTCTCTAGAGCCCCACATGTTCCCTAAGACACAATCTATATGCAGACAGAAGGTTGTCCTGCTGACTTTGCATGGTGGAGAACATAGTTCTGTCTTGTCCTTGAATGTATCACTAGATCTATCCTACCTCCTTCTCCTGTAATTAAAGCATGCAAGTTCTTTGGGCCTCCTATAGAGATAGGAGATGGTATCTGCTACTGGAGAATCACTTTGTACAAAAAACCTTTTGCTGATGAAATTAAGAGCTTATTAATTACCTCCAACTCCACTCGCAGAACAGTGGGGCGTCTTGAAAGTCGGTAGATATTTTCATTTCCCAGCCAAAAATCTCCCCGAATATTGCCAAATCCTTCCCTGTATTGTTTCCAGTCCCTGTTGAAAGATGTCAAACCAACTTTACGTCTTTGGATGATAGTCCAGCCGCCTCCATCTGTCTCCATGTCACAGAATACCTAGAACAGGAAAAAAGGCAGTGTTTACTTGTCAGTAGACTTAGGATGGTTCAATTCTCTTAACACAAGACAAGACATTGTTCCAGATTTCACAACTTGAAGAAATTCCTGTTTTGTTTAAAAGTAATGGAAAAAAATTATTAAATGAACCCTTTTTCTGTTTTCCCTCTTAAATTTTTTTTTTTGAAGTTTGCCTACATAAAGATGCTGATTCGAAGTGCAGGGTATCATAACTCAGTATGTGCGCTTTTCATCTCTATGGTAGATAAGTGATTTCTTGACTATA